CATCGTGTACAAGGTTGATTTAGAACTCCTTTACCTCCAAACCATTCATTAAAATACAAAGACTCAGTTCATTGCCAGGTTCAACAAAACTCATTCAACTTCCAATAACTCAACCACGTCATATATTCGTCTAGTTCTGGAACTCCAAATCATACTGGCCGGTAGGTTACCACATTATCGCACCCATTGTTGACTTCAATTTCAATAGATAGTTCACCCGAATAATTTTCTTCGGTGATCCCGTACACACAACGCATGTTCATCCTATGAATCCTACAATTTTGAACTGAAGGGGCTGTAAAATATACTATGGACCATACACTTGAATTGTTGAAGGTACCCAAATCTTTACCCCTAGGAAGAAATATGTTAAATATTCCGTCTTGGGACAACCCCCGTGCGATAAAAATTTCAATTTTAACTGGGACAAACTATGGATTATTGGGTGGGACTATTCTTACTCCTTAAATCTCTCTTTTCACCCCATTTAATCATTTTATTTTAAACTACTAAGTTCCCTTCATTTATACCCATATAATGAAACTATTAAATATATATGTCAAAAAAATCGAAACAAAATAGTAATTGAAGCGAAATTTCAAATGTTCTGAATATTTTGAGGTGTTTTGAGATATTTTGACGTGTTTTCACTAATGTCTTTAGAATATTTTGAGGTATTTTAAGATATTTTTGGTATATTTTAACTAAAATTTTTAAAAAAATTATTATTTTTTAATTAATTTTCACTCTGCTTCTAAAATATTTTCGTACCGAAATAATAAATCAAAATGAAATTTTGATTATTGCCTATATAGTAGGTTGAAATAAAATTGGATGAATTTAATTTTTAATTAGTGAATATAGACGAGATGAGTTTACTAACTAGTGAGGTGGGCATAAATGGGATGAACTTAATAATTTAAAGTAAGATGATTAAATTAGGGTGGAAAAAGAGATTTAAGAGGTGGGAATCGTGGACGGCTCAAGGTAATTTGAGGCCTAAAATGGTAATTCATTTTGAGGCCTTTTTATTTTTAGTGTTAAAAATTTTAATTGAAGTTAATTCTTCTCTTTTTTTGAGTTGTAAAAGTTTAAATTGAGTTTTTATATTTAAATTTTGTTTTCATAGATAATATCGCTAATCTAATTATTTTTCTTGTAACAGTCGATTTTAAGTAAGATTTTATTAATTTTAATTTTAAAAAACTTTTTTTTGTAGAAGTTCCATTATAAAAAGTAATAATAATATTGTATAAGCAATGCATACATTTGCAAAAAAAAATGTGTCTGCGATGTGTGTGCAAAAACCAAAAATTTCTGATGTGTGTGCGATGTGTGTGCAAACCAATACAAAACACCCAAAACTATCACACCAAAATGAGTTGTATGTGCTATTGTGGGTGTGTGTGTGCATGCAATATGTGTGAGCGTATGTGAGTATGTGTCTGTGTGTTGGACTCTCTCTGTGTGTGAGTTGTGAGAGAAAAAAAGAGAGGGGGTACCTGGGTCATGAACAAACAACTATAACATTCAATAAATACCCTTCCTATGAAAAATCCCAAATTAATTTATTGCAATGTGTGGGTGAGATGTGTGTGAATTTAGATGAGATCTTAGTTGTTCAACTGAAACAAAATTGAATTTGAGCCGTCCTTTACATTCTATTTGATTAGTATAGATTATCATTCTTTTGTCCTTCAAAAGCTAAAAAAACCAACAACTATCAATTTCTCAACAAATCAACCCCTCATTATTTCAAATCTCTTTTATCAAAAGTTATGCAACACTATCAAAAAAAATAAATCAATCCAAGCATATCACTTTATCAGTAAACTCAATCACACAAACCCACCAATAAAAAACATATCATAATGAGGACAAAAGAAGATCACGGAGAAATGCATGTGTTGTGTTTATACTCTTTTATTTGCACACAGAACCCACACACGCACAAAAAGAGCACCGGAATTTTGGGCTTCAATCACCTGAATTCCCAAAGCCAAAGTTTTATCTACATTTCACCCTTGAGCACCAACCTCAAGCCTGTAATCACCAAATTCAAAAGGTCATCAATTGACATTAATTCAAATCAATATAACATTCATAACCAATTTAACACCTAAACTATAACATTCAAACCAATATAACATTTATAACCAATTTGACACCTAAACCATAACATTCAAAACATCCAAACTATAATAACATTCAAACCAATTTAACACCTAAACATAACATTCAAAACACCCAAAATATAAAATTCAAATCAATATAACATTCATAACACCTAAACTATAACTTTCAAACGGCCTAAACTATAACATTCATAATCAATTTAACACCTAAACCATAACACTCAAAACTATAACATTCAAACGATCTAAACTATAATATTCATAATCAATTTAACACCTAAACCATAACATTCAAAACACCCAAACTATAATATTCAAACCAATTTAACACCTAAACCAAAACATTCAAACCAATTTAACACATAAACTATAACATTCAAAACACACAAACTATAACATTCATAACCAATTTAACACCTAAACCATAACATTCTAAACACCCACAATATAACATGCAAATTAAAAATACTCAAATTAAACACAAACATTCAAAAACCCAAATTATCCCAAATTCAAAAACCCAAACAAAAATCACACACAAATTTGTGTGTTTGTGTGCTGTTGCAATGCATGTGTGTTTGCGTGAGCTGTGTGTGTGTGTTTGTGTGTTGTTGTTGTGTGTGTGTGTGTGTGTGTTTGTGTGAGCTACGTGTGTGTGTTTGCGATTGTGTGTCGTGAAAGAGAGAAAGGGGCAGATATAGGGGAATACCTGGGACTAAACACCAAAATTAAACACTAAAATTAAAAAAAAAATCCAAATTAAAAACACTCAAATTAAACACAAACATTCAAAAACTCAAACCCAACTTTGTGTGTGTTGGGTGATTTGTTTGTTATTGTGTGTGTGTTGCTGTTTGGGGGGGGGGGGGTGTTGTTGTTTGTGTGTTGCTATGCGTGTCTACCAGTTCAACATGTGTCGTGTAAAGATATGTGTGTGTGTGTTAACATGAGCTCTATGTGTGTTTGCGACTGTGTGTCCTGAAAGAGAGAGAAAGAGAGATAGAGAAGGAGGAAGATGGTCAAACTGGCGTGTGTGGGTTGTGTTATGGAGTATATGTGGTGTGTGTTTAGGGTTAAAATTGGTGGGATTTGACATTTGTATGAGATGCATTTTGAGCCTTTGGATTAGGTTGCAAGAATGGAGATGAAATTTGGGCCTTTGAATTAAAAGTGGATTTAATTTGAGTCGTTCTTGCGCTTTTCCCAAACCAATTAAAATTAAATTAAATTTTGAAGTGAAAATATTGGTTCTATCTTATTATTATAGATTCTAGTACTTTTTAATAAAACTAGAAAAGTTGGTGTAAACTTGTTCAATTACATGTAAAAAGGCATTCATAAAGAGAAAAGAGATTTCTACAAATAAAGGAAGAGCATTCAATTACTTGTTCAAGGAATTATCAATTAAGCAATATACTTTTTGCCATCACTTTATCATTCTTTTGTTTTTTGGCCAATTTGTTTAATGGCTTGATTGGTCGGTCTTTTGAAAAGGACAGTGTGTGGATCTTATGGATCCATGCATCGACGGGACTAAGAGTAAAAAAAGGAGGAAAACTTTGGTTGGGGGATGGCCTCCCTTAGCCTCAACATGGGTCTCTGTTTTTAAACACGGGATTATTGATAATAGATATATATTATGCATCTTAATTTCTTAAGGGGGGGAAGCAAAATAAACCTTGTTGGAAACCTAATTCCATTATGGGTATGCTACATTAAGAAAGTTGCCTAAAGAGAAAATAATTGTGCCCCATATCAATATGGATTAATAATCATAAGCATTTATATTATGCACCTTCATTTCTTAAGGGGAAAAAGTAAAATGTGGTATGATACTAATTTACCTTTGTCTTCATTTCCTTTTACACCTAAACCTTGTTGAAAATCTAATTCCATTATGGGTATGTTAAATTAAAAAGTTGCCTATAGAGAAAATGATTGTGCCACACATCAATATCTATAATATAAAATAGGACAAATTTTAATAAATTTATCCGACGTTCTTAAATAGACTCATCCAACGGTCAATATTTTTCTCAAAATCATTCACATTACACCATACCTTCAGACATGGATTACCCCTAATGGATTCATAATCACAAGCATTAACACCATTTGCATTTGACGTGGGAATTTAAAGTAAGGATTTTGTGTATTGTAACTATTTGATTAACATTGAACTTATCGAATGTCGACATATTTTACTAAATTAATAGCAACAGTGTATTATGCCTTTAAATTAAGTCCTCAAATTATGTATTAAAAATATTCTAAAAAGGCAACTGCAAAGAATAAATTAGTGTCCCACAAAATTTCTACTAACCTTCCTAAAAGTCCCCTATATTAGCTTGTCATGGTCCCTCCCTTATGATCAAATTTCACATTACTTGCTTAAAATTTAAAAAAATTTCATTACAAAAATTATTTTGTTTTTAAAATAACAGCAGTGTGCCTCAATTAGTAAACGGCGTTTCATTGTTTGTGTATTAACAATTCACATGCTGCACCATGACATGAGACAAAGTGAGATAAAGTGCGAATTTTTAATTTTTTTTTGGTGAACCATTCATTATATCCCTAACGTATTAATAGTAAATAATAAATATATTAGAGTGACTGAAATTATAAACTCTTTCTAAACAAAAGGGTAAATTATAAGTGAAATTCGGATTTTCAGCTGAATTGGGCCTCTTGCTATTGTTCGGCCTAAAACAATTGTATTTAGAGTGTGTTTGGAATGATTTATAAAAATCAAAAAATATTTTTTTTAATAAATGTTTATCAAAAATATTTATAAGAAAAATATTTTTATTAAATAAGTATTGTTTGAATATTTAAAAATTAAAATACTTAAATTAACGTATTCTATAAAAAACACGTGAAAATACTTATTTTATGTTCCGAAAGCCATCCCTTTCCGTCTCGAATATCGGCCAAAGCCATTAAACCATCGGCTAAATCTTGCACAGTAGAAAGCCTCTTCATCGTCTTCTTCTCTCCCAATTTCCTCAACTTTTCCTCTTCCTCTCCACACCCAATACCTCTGGCCACCGCAATTTCAATGCTCGCTGTCAAACTCGCCTCATCTTCACCAATCCTCCTCAAATTCCTAAATTTCAAACTAATACTTCCTATATACCCAATAAACTCACACCAACCACTAATTTTCTGCAGATTACTTAAATATTTATTGTCGATCAGCCCAGATTTAGTTAACCAAACAAATTGTTCGACAAAATAGTATAAGCCTTCACCCCCATAGGCGATGATAGAGAGGATGATCTCTTCTTTGAGTCAAAGCATGTGGTTCGGAGAGAATTTACGTCTTGGATGAACTTGCTGAGCCAGAGTGGAAGATGGCCTTCAGTCGTTCACAGCAGAGGGTATGGAAAGAGCCACGATGGTTAGGAAGAAAAAAATAAAGATAAAAGTGATGGGGGATAAAGTGATTTTGGATAAGTAAAAACTTTATTTTTGAACTTATTTAAGTGGTAAAATGATTTTAACTTTTTTAAATTTACTTTTTATAAGTAATCTCAAACACTATTTTTTTTTATATAGTTATTATAAGTCAAAAGTTCAAAAAATATTTTTTTTTTAAATCAATTCAATCACACTCTTATTAACGTTTACATATATAAATATAGTGAGTATACGTGCAAGTATCAGCCCCAATTATCACTATTTGGTATTAGTAGGGAGAGAAGGGCTTTTTCGAAAGAATATCAACATTTATTTATATAGAAATAGTGAGTGTATCTGTGGGTATACTTATACCACTTAAAAGAAAGAATCCTAAATCAGTAAAGTAATTAATCAAACACAAGTAGTTTGTCGGGCCTTCCTCTGAAGCCTCCCGTTCATTATATTTAGTCTATAAAAGTTTAGTTACAATAATCAAGTTTTTAAAATTTTAATTACAATAATCAAGTTTTTAAAATTTTAATTAAGTTTCAATTTAGTCCTTGCATCAAAATTCATTGATTTATTTTGACATAATGGTCTTCTCAGACCAACACAAAACTTCGATATAGGAGTATATTTATTTAGTGGAAAATCTGTTACACATGCTAAAAAATCTTATTTTATTTCATTTAATTTTGAAAATAAAAAAGATTTTGAAAAAATAGATATAGGGGGAGAATTTGAGGTGTATTGCGAGACCCTGACCCAGAAAAAAAAAAAGGTATATTGTGAAACAAAGAGAAAAATATGAATGTATTTTAGAAAGATATTTTTTGATGGATAAATATATATCCTTATGTTGGGCAAGTCTCGTAACATCTTTTTGTCAAAATAAATTAATAGATCTAGATGGAAGGATTAGATTGAAACTCGATTATAACTTTAAGGATATAATTGTATTAATTGAAATTTAAGAGATCAAATAAAAATTATGGTCATACGTTAAGGGTGTGAATTATAAATTATCCTAAACAAAATTGAGATAATTTTAAATTACACCCCGAAAGATCGTTCGAATTTTAATTTATACCTTTAAAGATCAAAAATCTTAATTTATACCATCAAAATAAAAAATTGTATCAATGCGTACCTCCAGCTAATAGCAGTTCTAAAATAGATAAATTATATCTAAATCACCTCATGCTTGTCACTTAATCACCTAGACGGTTGGATTCTCATATTTAAAATATTACACCTACATCCTATGAGAATCTAAATATAACTAAAAATATTTTCTCAATTGGGCATTTAAATAATTCTGCTTAAATGATGAATTGCATTGTATATAAAAAATATTATATAAATATATGTATTATATTAGGTATTCAAATGATAAATTTGATTTTAAATTTTAGAGTATAATGGGTTCACAAAATAAAAGATAGTATAAAATTATTTTTTATTAAGATAAAATTATATTTTTTAACAATTATATTAATATATATTAACGTGGACAAACGTTTGGAGGCGTAGAAATAATATTTTAAATGTAAGTGGTCCGTGACAAACAAATGGGGTTTTAGATATAACCCAACAAAGTTTTGCAAGCCTTCAGGCGGGTCCGCACTGCTCAATCACGAATGGGAGAAAACTCGGAGCATCCACACACAGTCTCAGATAGTCAAAGCTTGTAAAAAAGGTTTCTGAAACTTGTGAGTCGCTGTTTTCGCTTTACCTTCTCTCTCCCTCCCTCTCTCTAGAAAATTTTCTAGGGTTTGGTTGTTCTTTGTTTTGGTCACTGTTGTTCGAAGCTCTTTGATTAGAAGCTCTGAAGTTTGCAAAATGTGAGTGATTCGCAGCTACAGGTAACATCTATGCGGTCCTTCTTTGTGTGATTTCCATATTCCACTTTCTTAGCCTCCGTTTTCGTTTTCTTTCGGTAAATAATTCCATATGTTAGAGGAGTGTTTAGTTGCTAAGAATATGTAGGAAGTGAGAAAAAAGTTAAAGGTTTCCTCTCTGTTGGTGGAACCTGGCAATTCAAGCTTCCATTGAACTGAGATTGGACTGTTTTTGACTCATTTGAGCGAGTAATCAATTCCTTCCTAAGAAAACATCGGGCATGTAAAATTGAAGTTATTTGTTTTGTGTTTCGCATTTATTTTTCACGAATGGCAAAAAGTTTAACGTACTCCACACAAATGGTCATTTACATGGAGGAAAAGAAAAGGAAGATTAGTAAATAGAAACAAACATATAAATGCATGTTACACATAGGAGAATGCTATCCAGTTTCCAAGAATATGTCATTATAATTTTTTTTATTGATAAGTGAGAAAATCTAGTTGGGAAAAGGTTTGTTGAGTAGGGTGGAACATAAGTTAGTAAATCTCAATTGTGCTGCCCCATGATTGCTCTGGTTCTGGAAAGTCAATTACAACATCCAAATCTCCGGCATACAAGTAACCTTCTGAAAAGAAACAACTTTATCAAAATGTTAAATTTGTTATTCAATGCCTAAATGCTCAGTTCAAGTCAACTTAACATACCTTCTTTCTCATTTTTGAGGGAAGAATGCACTGGATAAGAAAAACTACTAGATCACTGTAGTTTGTAATGCCTGTTTGACCGATTACTCGAATCCTCCTGCATCAGCAGAAATTTTTAATTCTTTAACATATTGCTAAAAGTTAGATCTCTGAAATGCAGTAGTGTTGCGGCATATTGGTTTGACTATATGTATCAAGTCTAGGATGGAGCTAGTTCTTCTAGAGGAAATTGAATTAGACTTGGGACATAGTGAACTATGATTATTGTTGGCTCATTTACCTGATAATCATGCTCAAGGAGAGGCCAGGAAGGAGGTTTTAACATTTGTTTCTGATGTATAAATTGTTTTTCCTGTGACATGCTTGAACTCTACATGCAATGTTGAAAATAGCAGAGTTATCATAACTTGGTGTGTATGCATGTAGATAAGATATGTACATATTACAGAAGCAAGCAAAATGCTAATATTCAAATTGGAAAGAATGTAATATGACCTCGCACTAAGGAGACCTCCAATAAGCCTTCTTTATTCTTAAATTCAATTAATAACTGATAATCTAAGCTTGATTTTTTGTACTAAGTTTCTAGAAATTGTCTTGGTTGTTGGCATCCGATATAGTTTTCTTCTTAGTTATTACCATTCAGGTTAAGAAGCTGATGCTTTTTAATGTGACTTGTGCCTTTTAAGCCGCTCAACCAAACCTCCTGTTTGTGCTCACCAATATGACCTCGGGTGGTACGATGCCTTCGGAAATTGGAAAACCCAGTGGTGATACTATGTTTGTTGACAAGCTCCCAGAGGGAATCAATGAAATGAAGATCCAAGATGGCAAGGTGGAAAAGGTTGCTTCTCACAACTAGGATAACTAATTGCCTTCTTTGCTGTCTACTTTTTGCTTCTCTTCAGGACTACATTTTTTACTTGCCATTTTGATGATAGGAAATGGAGGCAACAATGGTGGATGGAAATGGAACTGAAACAGGCCACATCATTGTGACAACTATTGGCGGTAGAAATGGTCAACCCAAACAGGTAAAGTTTGTTGAAGTTGAACTACCTTAAGTCTTTTTGTTCTCTTCTGGTTAGGTTTGAGAATGGAGAAACATCATTCATCTCTAAATGGACTGAGTCATTTTGATTACCTAAAATTATGTGAGCTATGCCAGTAATCCTATAATTTGGCAAAGCTTGTAGGTATTTGGTACCAAAGGGTTGAAGAAAAGTTGTAGGCTTATGGGATTAGAAAGGGCTGGAATTGTCTTGATCACCTACATGCGTTACCAAAAACTTGTGATATATTCTCCAGTACTGCTTAGAGAAGGATTTCACACAGCTTCTGCACCCTCCCTGGATGTCTCCTTCAATCATCAAAGAATTTTTACTGTTATTCTGAAGTTGGCATAACTTGGATGGTCACTCCAGGAAATGTATGAAGTGGTTGTGGGAAGAAGTGTGGCTAACGCTAATCTGACACATGAAAGTGATCTTCAAGAAATGGTATATGGTGTGGATAGGCTTCATTCAAAAATGTTGCGCCGTCCCTAAAATCAATAAGAAAAAAGAGCTAGGCAAAATCTACTGTTAACATGTTCTGAGAAGGAGAGAAAGGGTTTCGTTTTGTTGGCTATTTTAGAGGAAAACACTCATATTGGCAATCCTAATACACATAAATGAATTGATTTGATCTTACAGGTGGTAAGTTTGAGGGGTGTGGACATGAGTACCTGCTGGCTTTCTGTGCCTAGGTTAGGTTTTATTAGAGTTTGGTATTGAAGAGTGGGAATAGAGCTAGGGGCTGTTCAAGAGCTGTGAAAAAAAATTGTGAAACTTCTACACAGAAGAGGAAGAAAAGAAAGAGCTGAATTGGGAATATAACTTAAAGAGGAATAGAGGATTTTAGAAGTTGCCCTTCCAAGAATTAACTACAGCATATAAACATAACGTCAGGCTTTTCCAAGTCAGACTCTCTATAAACTAAAAATATATTTGAAGAAAAAAACTGAAATACAGAGACTACTTCACCTATTTATGGGTTTCTTAAGTTCTTGCCCTTTTACTAGGACTAAGGTGTTCCTTAAGTTACTCTGGCCCCTCATATGAGGACCCAATAACACTATTGGACCCATGTTTAGATTCTTGAACCTTAACTACCACTCATGTCCAACCAATTGTACTATTGTCAAAATTACAATGGCACAGACATTTGGATCAAAAGGCTTATTGATTGTTGCAGGCCCATTTCCTTTGTTTCAGGCTTCCACAGCTTATAACATTTGTTCATCGAATTAATAGCTATGACACCATGATTAGTGTTGGTCATTAACAGGAACTTGTAATGTGCAAATAATGAACATCCAGTAACAATCTTTCTTGGATTCAACTCACGTGTTGAATGATATTGCATATGAGAAGCACGCCGAGCTTGTTAATAGCTAGAACATGTACTATACTTTTGTAGAGATTCCATAAAGGCTTTTAGTCTGCTGTTTAGTCTCATCTGCCATCCATGGTCATCTGTCTCAAGTTTTTTTCCCCTGATTACCTGTTAAATGTACGTCATATATGCACATATATACATTCAACACTATTGATAAAGCATATACTTTGCTTGGAAAATATAATTTTTCTATTTGACAGTGTACAACTTCTTGACAAATAATATATGTTTTCCATTTGTAATCAGACAATAAGCTATATGGCAGAGCGCACTGTTGGGCAGGGTTCATTTGGAATTGTATTTCAGGTGATACTTTATGTACATTTTTCTGAACTATCAATATAACTGATAATTTAGTTGCTTTTAACAAGGCTATCATGTGAAGCACCATTTACAACAATAGATACAACCTTCCGTTAAAGCAAAGTTGTTTTGCAGGCTAAATGCCTGGAAACTGGGGAAACTGTTGCAATCAAAAAGGTCTTGCAGGATAAGAGATATAAGAACCGTGAATTGCAAACAATGCGCCTTCTTGATCACCCCAATGTAGTCTCACTCAAGCACTGCTTCTTTTCAACTACAGACAAAGATGAACTCTATCTCAATTTGGTTCTAGAATATGTTCCTGAGACTGTTTATCGGGTATCACGACACTACAGCAAGGCAAATCAGCGAATGCCCATGATATATGTCAAACTCTACACATATCAGGTCTGACTTTTAGCATCAAGTAGATCTATATTTTCACCATTTTCTGAAGTGGCATTTTGTACAAAGTCTGATCCACAAGTAACAACTTAAGGTGTTTAGCATCTGCCCATAAGCATTTCAATATTATTACTTATTTATATATCTCGAGCTTTTTCCAAAAATATTATTTGCACTAGTCAAAGACATGATGTTGATTATGTTCCTTGGGACAAACCTTTGTTGAGTTGAGTTTGAGTTGAGGGATTTAGTTCCTCTGAATTGTTATATATGTGTCTAGTCACATGCAGATTTTGGTTTTATGGTGTTTCGGTTTCTTTCCTTGCACAATTTGAGTTGTTTGAATAGAACCGAGCACTGAGAAGTACCTAATATACATGATACGACATTTGTCGTACCTAAATTCTGCGAGTTTAAGTTCTATTGCAGTATGATGTGTTAGGTAGTGATGAAGAGGATATGTCGTCAACTTTCATTCACATCCTATGATGATTGTTGTGTTTTATGGTGACTGTTGAATTTGGCAGATTTTTAGAGCTTTGGCATATATTCATGGTATAGGAGTCTGCCACAGGGACATAAAGCCGCAAAACCTACTGGTTTGTATTTAAAAGCTTAGGTGACGTCACATATTATGATCGACTGTTATTGACCAATACAATCTGTTGTTGCAGGTTAATCCTCACACTCATCAGCTCAAACTGTGTGATTTTGGAAGTGCGAAAGCTCTGGTATGTGATATCTCCTTGGACATGACTTATTCTTAGAACTTGATATTCCTTAAATTATGTTTGTTGGCATATTTCTGATTGGAGAGCTCAATATCTCCCTTAAGCTGCCAAATTGATGAATTAGTTGATAGTATATCTTTCTCTTGCAAATCACGTTGTTGAGGCTTATATGTTATTTAGTATTTGGTTTCTCCTTCATTATTTCATTCCGGATCTGGCTACTTTCAAGTTCCTTTTCTATACTGCATAATAGATTCATTACTACGACAGGTTAAAGGGGAGCCAAATATCTCATATATTTGTTCTCGTTATTACCGTGCTCCTGAACTCATATTTGGAGCAACCGAGTACACAACTGCAATTGATATATGGTCTGTGGGTTGCGTCCTTGCTGAATTGCTTCTTGGCCAGGTTCTTACAAGCCCAAAACTTTCTATATTATAATCTGGAAAAGATATTGGAGAATGAGGGGTTATTAACATTGATGTTTTTCTTAAAATTTTCATTTGGACGTTCCAAACTTGGTAGCCTCTCTTTCCAGGCGAGAGTGGAGTGGATCAGCTTGTCGAAATAATCAAGGTGACTTCCTATGCCTCCTGCATGAATAAGAGTGTCTCAATTCTGAAACTTCAGCATCTTACTTTTGCAATCAAAGCTAAACAACATATCGGGGAAAAAAAAACTGAAATAGCTGATCATCTCTTCTTTCATTCTTTTTTCTAGGTGCTAGGGACACCAACTCGTGAGGAGATCAAATGTATGAATCCAAACTATACAGAGTTCAAATTCCCACAAATCAAGGCTCATCCCTGGCACAAAGTGAGAAAAAATGTGGTTTCTTTGCTGACCTTTTCTCTTTTTTTTGCGAAAAACAAAAAACTGACACTAGTGTCGTTTATGTAAACGTGTGAAATTACTTAGCACCCTATTCTTGTTGTGGGCAGATATTTCACAAGCGGATGCCCCCTGAAGCTGTAGATCTTGTATCAAGACTTCTTCAATACTCTCCAAACTTAAGGTGCAGTGCGGTGAGTACATCCTAGCAAATTTTTTAATGTCAATGAAGAAATGGATCTATCTTTTCCTCTTTTCGAGTTTGCCTCTAATTTTGTTCAAATAAGTGCACCTGCCGTCTTTACATCTTGCCTTCTTACAAGTCATGGGGTTTATCCATCTTGATCACTACTGTACCAGGACATTTGTATGACCTATGGATATCAGTTTTACATTGTTTTACATGGCATTTGACGGCAAAAGCCATCCTCTTCCAGAAAAAGCAAGCTAATATTTACATGAGTCTGTTGAAAATGGGCATTTGCGGAACATCTACATTGCTATTTTATGGTAGATCAAATTGCTGGTTATTGTAACTCTATTGATTGGTGTCCCTTGCTTTTTGTTTGGTTGCAGTTGGATGCCTGTATCCACCCATTTTTTGATGAACTTCGTGATCCTAATACCCGACTACCAAATGGCCGTCCCTTGCCACCTCTTTTCAACTTCAAACCTCAAGGTTCGTTTTCATCCATTTAGTTTCATTGTTACTTTGTGCCCCTCTAATTACCTCTGTTGCATACTTGGGTTTCGAATGACAATTCTGTGTTTGCAGAGCTGAAAGGATCGTCTCTGGAGCTCCTGTCAAACTTGATACCAGAACATGCTCGGAAACAATGCCCCTTCCTTGGTTTTTAGGGTGTAACATTATTGTTCATATCTATTGACTGATTTGTGGTGTAACATTATTGTTTCTTTGTTGACTGGAGACTATGGGCACCGTCTCTATGTTGTATTGATTTCTCACAAAAACAAATGTTTGATGGACTTTATTGGTTCTTCTTTTAGTTTCTGTTGCCAACATCGTGTCGACTCAAAGTCCAGTGATTATCTCTATAATGGTATATTTTATTTTGGATATGTACAATCGCTCTTGCGATCTAGATAGATCCAAAAATGGAATTGGAACTTGATAGGTCTCGCAGCAACTAAGCTAAGGGCAGATTTCACAAATGGCTACTGCATCAAAGGTAAAGTACAAAAAACTTTGAAATCTATAATTGCTTCGGCAGTAACAGGAATTTCTGGTTTATATATGGTGATGTACACAAGAATAACCAGAGATGAAGAAAAGGAAACTGGGAGTTGCAATTCAGATCCCTTGTATAGTGGTTGGTGGGCATCGAGAGAAAAATATATTAGAAGAAATCTAAATCCTATTTTGTTGGTTCTGCAAATAATCCTCCACATCTCCTCAGTAATCCATTATTCACTTCCAACACAAACAATACATAAGTTAGTGGGTTAAATTATAGTATTGAAAAATAATTTTTTAATATCATATCTTCTATTTCCTTCCAATGAAATCTTGTTATGTGTACATATTATTTATTTTATTTTAATTTATTATTTTTACAATTAATAATCAAAGATAAATTAATAAAATAAAAGTTTAAAGTTATTTAAAGATATAATAATGAAAAATAATTTTTCGATCCTACAATAATATTTTAATCTAGTGGGCCAAGCACTAAGAGACAAACTTAAAGGACCAAAATGTCAGTCTTATCATCAATTATGACTTTACCCTTTATATACTCGAGAGTACAATAATTTGCCTACTCATGCCCCAATGTCTCTAGGGTTAGGGGTGATAATTTTTTAAAAAACATAAAAAATACGATTTAAAATTAACATAAAATTAATAAATTAGAATTGATAATTTTTAACACAAATCGTATATAATACGGTCCGTTAACAAAAATAATAAATAAATTAAATTAATATCAAACAGAATTAACATGAAAATAACAGGATTAATATATTTAAATAATATTATAAAAATAAAATATTATATTTTATCAAGACCTAATTTTTAGATATCCATCAATTACTTACTGTATGACACAGCAAATAAGCTCTTCTCAAAATAAAAATGCACAGAAAACATATGGAACGTCTTCAATTACGCCCTTCTCAAAATAATATAATATTCCACGGAAAACTATCTGTATGACGTGTCGCGAGTGGAATTAGGTTTTTCCACCGTGGCGCGCATCTTTTTTGTATTGTTTTTTTTCATTTTACTGTACCCTTCTGCACAAAATTTCCTGACAAAAACGCTTTCCCGTACTCGCACTCGTCAGTGCGATTCTTTGGTCCCAAAGCTTCCTTCAATTTCACGAGCCCTCCCTCTCTCTCCCTCTCAGCTACGAGAATCTTTCTCTCTCTCTCACAGCTACGAGAATCGTTTTCTCCCTCTTTATTTATATTTATTTGTTGCTTTTTTTTTTCCTCTTTTCACCTCTTCTGTGTTTCTTCGTCATCGTTTTGAAGATTTTGCTTTGTATATCTTCGGTTGTAAATCGAAATCCACCAGTTTTCGGGCGAAGGAATTTTTTTTGTTCCTTTTTTCTTACAGGAGAGAAGTACATTTCCGATGCTATTGAAGGTAGCGTCCTGATCAAAGTGATTCTTATCTTGTCAGGTAATTAGCATATGTATTAGTTGAATTTGTCCTGAAATTGTACCTTAATTGTGTTAAATTCGTCATTAGTGTTAAATACAAATGTTTTAATGATTGGCTGAAAATTATTAATGTTAGCCAAGGGACTAGGAGTGTTTTTGGTGAGTTTGTGCAGGTTTACAGAAATCCAGATTGGGTAATTTTGTGGAGTGTTTGTAGGGGAAAGCTTGGGGCTGCCATGGGCTATGTTGTAGAATTTTCAGGTTATCTTGGTTTGATTGGGTGAAGCGCGAGCATCTATTGAGGAGGTTGTTTGGGAAATCTCCTTATTTGAATCTGCCATTTCAACCATCTTCATATTTGGGGGTTCAATTCCTTCCTGGTTTCAGATTTCCTGTTCATACACCTGCCATAGTTTTTCTGTTTGCATGGCCAATTTTTTTTTGCATTATAGTAAAGAATATGTCTGAAAGAATTGGTGACGGAACTTACATTCGTTGCCTTTGATATTCTTAATCACTGTTGCTTATTTTGCCAAATGAACTACGTCAATATGATTATTGATTCTTTCTTTTTGTTGAACAGCTTGGGAACCTTTGTTCGGCTTACTAGAGGTTGCTGAGAAATGGTATTCCTTTCTTTTTCATGCAATTTCATATCATTAATACCAATGTTGTGATGTAATCACAACACGGCTTAGTTGAGTTGAGTTGAGTTGTAGAACCTATGTTGTGATGTCACTTCTTTCATAACACACTTATAGTTTCTACTGCACTAGACTATTTTTATTTTAACTAGTTGGTTCCCATGTACGTTGTACGTGGACCATTTTGTTTGAATTATAATTTTAGTTTTTATTTTTTAATTTTTACTCGCATTATCTCTATATTTGTAGTTTTATGTATACATAAAATAAGTGTGAAGTTACAAAGTAAAAGAGACAATATGTAAAATAAATGTATCAGGTCGTTGATTTGATTACTTATTAGTTGTTTATAAAATTTATGTTTCAAATATTTTACTTTTACCATGGTGTGAGCAACACTTAGCAGAATTCTCATCAAGAATATTGACTTTGGATTGAAAAAAATTACCATCTTACAATAAATATTTGACAATTGAAGATCAAAAAATGAATTAAAACTCGATAGAAATGAATAAAAATATAATTAATAAGTAGAATTTGTGTATAGTTGCAAAAATTAATCTCATGCACCAAGATCATGGCAAATCAAATTTCTAAATTAAAATTGAGAAGTAAATAAATAAAAAAAATTGAATCTAAATAGGGAATAAGACATATCACATTCTCTTAAAGTCCTAGATTACACTTAGATTAAATCATCAAAGCAATAGTTGATAGTACTGATAAAAAAAAAAATCATATAAATAACCAAGAATTATTGCACTTTGAGCTTATCATCTTCAATATCGTTTATAGTCTTACTTTCATAAGATTTATGACAACCTGCAAAGAAAATAAAAATAAAAACAAAACACATAAATGGAGGGAGCTATGAAAGTTATAAAGAAAAATAAAAATACCTATAACTTCTATTATTTAAAGAGAGAATATTTCTCTACTTGTGGTAAGTGAGAATTTGGAAGAAGAGCATGTTATTCTTATATTGTTTTTTAATTTTCTCTAGTATTACGAATATGAAAGGTCTTCTTATATATAATGTTATGTATTCATTGCACTTATAATTACAAATATTTATTCTTAGAAAGGGAAGGGGATAAGAGTTAAAGTAGTAAGTAGGATATAATTGTCTTTATATGATTAAGAAGGGGTAGAATAGGAAATCAAAAGTTTTCTCATTAGCTTCCTTTTATTAGTAGTATAGATATAGATTAATTAGGAACATTCAAGTGAAAACTGTTAATGTTATGTGTTTCAATTATATGTTTTTGGTTTGTTTGTTCTGTTTTGTTTTTATTTTTGTAGGATGGAAATGCTTCTTGTGAAGACGTTGATAACATTGACTGGGATACCGAAGATGAACTAGAAATTCAGGATATTCCTGTTTCATCTTGTTCAAGGTTGACGCCGCCTGGTGAAGAATCTGTTGCTGGCACGGGGGAGGTAAGTGTTTATAGTTAACTAAGGCTATGGTTACTCTCCTTCTCAATTGCGGACTATTGTGATTACAACAAAGATAGAGAAGTAAAGTCTTGTACATTACTTCCCTTCAATGAGTTATTTTCACTTTTTGAAAGGTTATGAGATTGTGAAAAAATAGTATTATATCAACTTGCAGCAGAATCATGGTTGACAAGAAAATTGCATTCTAAGAGATTTTTATCCAGGCTGGTCATATAATTTTATCAGTGGGACCATTGACTGGTGAAGTGAGAAAAGTGTTGGGCTAACAAACTATAAGGTTGCGGGTTTGAATTTGGGAGCAACCACTTTGTGCAATTAGTGCTAAATTTTTAAGGTCTGTTTGCCCCACCCCTTGAACACCTCTATTAACGGCGATCAAACTAGATGATCCATTCATTAGTACAACCATCACCTGCACATCCAATTTGCATAATTTATTTGACTGCCTCATAAATCTCCTACAATTTTGCAATATCGATTTGGAGTCATTACATTGCTTACTTATTTATCTTTGCCCCAAATCCTCGAAGGGAAGGAGCATGGACGCTGCTGTTTTTTATTTGGGGGTGGGGGAGGACCGAGGATCCATCTTTACAAACTAGAAACACTTATATACAAAGGGCTAGGGCATCCAAGCTGATGTAACCTATATTTACACATATATTCATATGGATGTTTGTAATACATTAGAAGCATGTGGTTATTTTCTGCAGTTCATTTAACAATTTGTTTGACTCCTTCCTTTTGGTTTCCTTCACATGCATTCTTCTCTCTTTTCTTTGTGCAATAAGAAATATAGTTCATATTTACTAATTCATTCAACTGTGACATCTACAGGCAAGCTCATCAGTAGATCCTTCTTCCCACTCCAAGTTGGTTCATCATTTCATAGGGATGGGGTTTTCTGAAAAATTGGTTACAAAAGCAATTGAGGAGAATGGTAGTTGCACTGTTTGTTCTTTCAAAAGAGAGTTTTGACCTAAGAAGCACGTATATGGATACGACGATACGCGAAAATCTTTAAAAGCAGAATACAAATACGACTAGGATATGTCTATATATATATATGGATTAGGAGATAAAAAATGTTCCAAACTTAAACAATTCATGTTACTGGCAAAGAAACTGCACAATAGTGTTTTGAATCCAATGTTCTATGTAGTCACTTGTGTCATCCTTCGAGAGTTGGTTTTGACGTAAGCCATAAAAACTAATTATTCAACCCAAACAAGTTGTAAAGAATTCTCAAAATTTCAGCCCAACACCGCTCTTTCTAGGGTGCAGGAACCTACTTATCAAACGGTTCTCCATAGGAGGTCTGTAAGGAGTTTCCAATGAGCCACTTTTTCCCTGAATCTATAATGAACACAAACGTATACTACTAGGCCATTGAGCACATTGATTAACTCAAATCTACACAGTCCACCACATTAAGTATAAGGAGCATGTATCCACCTTGAAGGTATACGTATTCGAGGTGTATCAACAAGTATCCAACAATGATAAGTATTTTATTAAGTATTGAATGCATACGGAAGGTATTCGATATACATTTTTGAGTATTTATCTAGTATCAGTATCGGATACCGGATATGTCAACCCAATCGAAGTATCTGTGCTTCTTAGGTTTTGACCTTGAAAGCTTGGTTGATGACTATATTCTAATACACGTGCAGGACAAGGCAATACAGAATCAATTCTAGAAACTCTCCTGACATACTCGGTAAGTCTCACACATTTTGAGACACTTTCCTGTAGCTTTTTCCTTCACCGCTTAAGCCCTTTGATACTCATCGGTGCTTTGTGAATGAAAACTAGGTCAAGCTGGGGGAAAACAAAACTGTTATTTTAATAGATCAGATGATAATATGTCTTTGGTTCATTGTTGCATACTTGAATCTGTTTTGGTCATAATGTTTGTCTCTTATCTGTTCTTGAACTACAATTCTTCAGTTTTTATAGTATAATAATATAATTTTCAATTTATGTGTGATGGTAGGAGCATTGAATCTTTTGTGTTTAACCGATCAGGCGAAGCTTGTTGGAAGTTGCATATACAGCTATTTGTCTTTTTTGTGTCCTTATACAATAATTTAAAAACAGTT